TGCTATTTACAGGGAGGAGGGGGTCTTGAGTCACGGGTGCGAGGTCTGTAGAGCACTTTACCCAGTAAACAAAAAGCCTTTCTTCCTGCTCATGCAGTAACCGGATGGGCTTCTGCGAGTTCCTTCATAGAAGTCGGTTACACAGTTTTACCTATTTTACAACTGGATGTCCGTACATCATCATCTATCCTGATCGCATTGGTGGTGTTTACCACCACTCACACCACACATTTGCAAGGGGCCCCTGAGGTTTGGGGGCCCCCTGTTGGCCATAAACAGTCATTACCCTAAATATTAAATAAACACATTCTTTACTTATGAGATGTTGAAGCAGCATGTTCTGCTAACCACCTAGCTAGCTATGATCTTCTGACTGTACTCGCTAGCTATTTATTTAGCTTTTAAATCATCTGGGGGGTGATTTTTTTTTTGAGTGGGGCCCCAGAAATTCTTAATGTGCATAGCAGCGTCTGCAGTTTAAAAAAACTGATTGTCTTCTCGTTATCGGGCATCGGACTGACACTTCTCCTCAAAGGAAAGCCTGTGGAGGGGGTTGGGGGGGGGCAGGAGTCACAGGGAGACTAAACAAGACGTGCAGCTACCTGCCAGCTCAGGCAGACATCAAAGGGCCCCCACAGGCTGATTTTAAACAAGGCTCCCCCCGAAGGGATCAGGTCTCCCCTGCCCGGTGTGACACCAGCCGCGTGGGACACTGGATGTACACCCCAGGGACATGGCGAGGCATTTCATCAGAGTACAGATCCACTGGTAATTCCCTTGTTAGTTTTTATTTCATTAACCGGGAGATGGGGAAACTCAACATCCTGGAATTATTATTAGTTGAGTGTTAGACTTTATTTGTTTGCTTTTCATTGTAATGAATTTTTTTAAGTAGGATGTTCATAAAAAATTATTTCGGGAGGGAAAATTTTTGGCCAGTTGAGAGACCTCAAAGAGAGACCACCTTCAGTCACCAAAACGTTGACACCCCGTTGTCTTTCAATCGTAAAATTGCCACCGTCGGTACAGTCCCCCCCCCCCCCAAAAAAAAAGCCCCCCAGGGAGGACCCTGTCATTAATATAAGTACCAGTAATTGAGAGGTGTTGGGACTTGGGGGGCGGGGGGATGACATCATCTGTGGTGCATAGTCCTGCTGCCTAGTTGTGCCTCTGTAATTACGGGAGGGGGTCTTCGGTGCATTCCTCCACGCGCGTCCTGCCCGTTCACGCCATCAGACCATCAGACCGTGGAATAAGGTGCCCGGCTGCAATGCAGACACAACAAGGGCCCCACACCTTCATCTCACCTTACCATCTCCCACACACAGGAGTCGGTTTGCTCCTTCTGCAGCCCCTCTCAAAAAGTCACCTTGGGACCCCCTGCCCCCCCCCCCCCCCCCCCCCCTCAGGCTAGTGAGTACAGTCAGGAGATGGTAGCTAGCTCGCTGGTTAGCAGAACGTGCTACGTAGCCAAATAAGGAACATGTTTATTTAATAGTTAGGGTAGTAACCGTTTGCGGTCAACAGGGGGCCCTATGCAAATCGGTGGTTTGAGCGCTAGTGAACAGCACTACTGCCGACATGGCTGCGGTGTTTGTGACTCTGGGGCTTTGCTCCCACACTGTGCTGCTGCTGACGGGATTGAACGCATTGAATGCACCATTACTATGGAAACACAACACTTCATCTTCACCTCCAAAGGACCTCCCCGGCAAGCAGGAAGTCATTGTGGCCCAATACCTGGAGAAAGTCGATTAAACTAGGGACAGGGTCTGGGGTCTCGTCTCTCTCGGTTACTCAGTTTGCCTTTTAAATCTGTAAGTTGTGACGGTCAGTTTCCTAGTCGTCCCGTGACACATCGGGTCTGGGGTCTTCAGACCTTCCTGCTCTTGGCATTCAGGTCAGAGAATTTCTGTCGTTTATCAGTTAATGAGCACTTTGGTGTTTGCAGGTCACCTCCAGCCTCCCCAACCCCCCACATGAAACGGCGTGCTGACCTCTAGCAGTTTGCTGAGAATAACCCCCCCGTCCCTGCAGGGGGCAAAGGTCAACACGCGTAAGATATAGGTGTGGCCTGGGCTTTGCAGGACGAGAGTCCCGTCCCACTGGCTGATTCCCACGCCCAGGTACAGTCACGGTTCACCCCCTGCCATGTTTATCTCCCTACTGGTCAGCAAAGTCTCCAAAGACCTCGAGGGGAACAACGGTCCCACATCTGGCTGCCACCTTTCCCAACAAGCCTCACGAAAGAGGCGTGAAACCGTAAAATCGTTATTTACAGACACATTCAAAACTCCATTAGCGATTTCTTCAAACGATACTTACAACTGTACATCAATTCCGATTCACGATTGATATCTTAGTTTGTCTCAATTCAGGCCCGTTCTGTTTGCACTTTACTGTCAAACGAGGCCTGTATATTCTGCTTGAGGTGTAAAGACTTCACCGCCCTTGAAAAACGTATGACCTCCTGATTGGCTGTATTGTGGGGCTGAGCAAATGAGGCGATTGGTCAGTGGGCTCAGACGCTACATGTGTGTAAGTGAATGAGCCCTCTGATGGACTGGTGTCCCACCTCAGGGGGTTTCCCAAACTGTGTGGTGCATGGGATAGGTTCCAAGCCCACACCATTACCCTGACCTAAGTAAGTGGGTTGTAGAATAGGAGGATATTTGATCTCAGAAAACAGGGAATTTCACAGCTTAATAATGTATAGGTTACAAAACACTGTCAGATTCACCTTCTCAACAGCCAGTTTCTCAAGTTCTTAAGCATCATGGACAGTTCCTCTAACGCCAGCTCCAGTTGAAGTAACGAGGTCAGAGCAGATCTGGAAAATCTTCAGTGGTGTAAACAGTTGGCACATTTAAATAAAAATGTGTTAAATCTACCATAAGGAACCAACACTCAGTGTCCAACCTAAACATTTCACACAACATAGGGATTCATGTTACAGCCGCCCTCCCATGTTGAGATATCAGACACAACTTTGAGGAGCAGGGCAATAGCCTACAGACTGCAGCCATAAAAACAAGCCAAATCAAAAAGATGCTGTTCTGCAAGGAGTAGATTAGTGCCTCTCATCTGATAATCAGAATGCTAGAATTTCCCCACGGGGATTAATAAAGTGTAAATTATTATTATTATTATTATTATTATTATTATTATTATTATTATTATTATTATCCAGATTACTTTAAAGATTGTATCTTGACTTCAGTTAATGTTATTTGAATGATGCTGTATTTTTGAGAATGAGCTACAGATGTGTACAATAGTGGTGACGTGTGGCTTGGTGGGGTAGGTCTCTGTGCCTGTGATCAGAAGGTTGCTGGTTCACATCCCATGGTTAGTAGAGTGATTTTTATCATTAGACCCTTGAGCAAGGCTCTTAACTCTGGCTGATCCTGCCTTTTCGGTTATACAGTACACCTCTTTGGATAATAGTGTCTGATACACAAACACACACAATGTTCCCCTCCCTCACAATATCCATCCATCTTCCCGTTGCTTGTTTGGGTCAACGGGCTTTTTTCTTCTGTGTTTCTGTAATAAAACCTCGATGTGTAAAGTCTTCCACTTAATTCAGCTGTAAAATTCAGGCTTTCACTCCGACATTTGCTCACAACCTGGTGTTGAATAAACGGTTCTACTAAATTTTATTTATTTGTTGGCTTTTTAACTTAAGACTGTTATCTGCTATTCTATTGTGTTGTTCTTCGTTACTTTTCATAAATTCATAGTCCATAAACATAACTGTGCTGGGAATAAAATTACATGAATATGAACCGTACTGAGTTGTTTAAGTCATACTATATAGCAGCTCTTGTTACACTCTGCTGTGCCGTCTCTCAGTCTGGAAGCTTGCCATGACAAATCGCGGAAGGTTAAACAAAATGTTGACGAGACTGCGCTTGTCTGCCTGTGTCGCATGCAAATTGGAAGACAATGGCAACTTATAAATCACAGGAAGTCGCTAAAGTGACTGTAAAAATAAATACAAAGGAAAGAACAAATAATAATAATAAATATTTAGCCAACGATAAAAACAAACTTAACGGAAATGTTTATACCCATCCTCCCAACACTCAACATAGGGCACGCGGCAGGGGAACACCCTGGACTGGAATACTGTTGATTTTAATCTATATATTAATTATTAATGTTCGGACGGCCTTAAAAGTTTCTGCATTTGAAGACGAAACCTCGATTCATTTATGCTCCTTTCACTTTAAGGAATGAGTTTGTTTATGCTGGAACAATTTCCAGAATGATACAGATGTTTTATTTCCTGTTAGGATCCATGCTGGCAGATTTATTATTGAAACAAAACAAAAAAATCCTCCACCTCCAGCAGCCTCTATCCCGAACGTGAATAATGACAAAAATCCCCTACAAGCCATTTTCAATGCCACAGTACTCCAACCTATTTGCCAGTTATTAGAGGAGGTATTGTGTAGATTTTTTTTGGGTTACGACCCTATGGCTGTGATATCACGGTTTCCGGTTAAAATCCCAAGGTCGGCAAAGTGATTTGGCCATTGGGCCCTTGAGCAAGACCCTTAACCCCCAAATCCTCCTGGGGTTAGCTGACCCTACTTATTCAATTTGGATAAAAGTGTCTCCGCAACCCCGTTTACTAGGAAGTTAGGATGCTGTGTAAAATGTAAATAAGAACAGAATGCAACGATTTGCAAATAATATAAACCCATATTTAATTGAAAATAGAACAAAGACAACATATTGAAACTGAGAAATTTATTGTTTTATGACAAATAAAACAGCAACAACTGATCTCCTCAGTTCCCAAATGTTTACAGAGTGTTGCTAAAAGAAGAGGTGATGCAGCAAACATGTCCCTGATCCAACTTTTTTAAAACAATAAAGGTTGTATTTCAACGTTTGATATGTCGTGTTTGTTCTAATTTCAATTAAGTATGGGTTTATAAGATTTGTAAAGCGTCGCATTCTGTTTTTATTCACACTTCACACAGCGTCCCACCTTTTTTTGGAAGCGAGGTTGTAAATAAATGCTATTCACGCCGTAACAGGCGATTGGGGGGCTATACTGGGGGAAGCAGTTTGGGTTTTTTACTATTTCCTAAGGTGCAACTGAAACACAAAGCGAGGGATGATATGCCGAGCCACACCTCCTTTTACAGTCCCGGAGTAGAGGGAGAGAAGTAGGGTGAATGAGAAAGGGAGGCCAGCCAGGGAGCGAAGTGCGGCGTTTCGGCGGACTTCCCAGCGGGCACCGACGGGGCTGATCGCCGCTTCTTAAAACTATTCAGACTCGTTTTTATACATTCAGATCGGCCGTTTTCCTCTCCTACATGCCGTTTTGACTTCTCTGCTCTCTGACTGCGGGTTTTCCAGCGATTCGCCCTTTTTCTCTTTAAGTTGATCCAGCGTGAAGCGCAGGTGAACATGGCGAGAGGAGTTCCTCACGGCCCCTCCGCACTCGTCTTTCTCCTGTCGTCCATCCTGTGCCCTTGGGGATCGGCGCAGGAGCTGCCGGGCAGCGGCGTGAACGGCTTCAGCTTGCACCCCCCGTACTTCAACCTGGCCGAGGGGACGAAGATCACGGCCACGGCGACCTGCGGGGAGGACGAGAGCAGGAGGTGGACGGAGGACCTGTACTGCAAGCTGGTCGGGGGGCCGGTGTCCGGAGACCCCAGCCAGACCATCCAGGTAAAGCCGGACACACTCTCGCGCCATGAATCCTGCATAATTTCTATATTATCATCACCTCCGATCCTTCCTGGCATTTTCTTCCCCTCCTTCCCTTTCCCCCTTTTTCATGCACCATATAGGCTACTGTATGAATGATGTAGGTAATGCATGGCCGCACACTTTTGTCAAGTACTGTATTTTAAAAAAAAAATCAATGTATTTCGGGAGTTCATTTTGCAGTCGATTGCGATGGGATTGTTTGCGATTTATAGCCCGTGAGATTAAGTCCGTCGATCGTGATGCCGCGTGAGAAACTTCTTATGCTCGGCTGGATCACGCAAAGCAGAGTCCGTCTGCTCCACCTGCTTTATCGCTGGCTGTGTTGATGAGTCTTTATTGCGAAACATCTGCTTCTGTAGTGCTGCTCATCCCGACGTGTGAATTCAGGGAAACGTACAGCAATGTTACCCCTTGGGCAGCATTCCTACGGGAATTTCAGGAATTCTTAGAAAATGCCAGCAGGCAAAATGCGCCTCGGGCAGGAATTTGCCCTGTTTCTTCACAGCCCCCCCCCCCCCCCTGGTCCACACACACTGGCCAAGCAAATATAAAAAAGGAAAAGACACCAACCCACAATGTCCGTGACGTTTTTCAATATGTCTTATTAATATAATAACCCACATCCCACGTAAGTACCCCGCGCTTTTTATCTACGCTACCCGAGCATTTGCAATACACGGAAAGTTGTTCTACAGTTTAATAGCAACATAGGGAGAAAATCCGTCACAAAGTTGATGCATTACTTCAATATATTACAAATCCCCACTTCCTCCGGTGTCCGGTGCCACTAATCCTGTTTTGTGTGTAAGACAGAAGTATGTTTGTGTTAATTAAAACATAGGCTGGCACTGGCGTGTTCAGCCCTTTCATGCTCGCTCTCTCTCTCTCTCTCTCTCTCGCCCTCCCCTTTTTATGTATAATTTCCCTTCCATTTCCAGTTTATGGACTATTGCGGTGCTTACCTTATAAATACTGAGTTAGAATTTTGTTTTGAACCTTGAACCTTAGATCCTTTGTGCATTAAAATGCTTGTTTGTTTAGCTTTTTTTCCCTCTGTTAAAACTAATGTAGTATGCTTTTCCACTTAGGATTTTGGTCTGATGTTTCCAGTATCCATATCTTTTATATATATATATATATATATATATCTCAGCCTTCACAGAGTGGTGGATTTCTCCCGTATTGTAAGTTAATAAACCAGTAAATTTGAACTGATTGACTGAACCACCCGGTGTAGAGTGGGAGGTTAGGGTTGAGGTTAGAGGTCGTCCCTTTTTCAATAGAGGCTCCCGGGCTGCGTTTGGGTCCCATGAATGGGAAGCCTTTCGTGACAGAACCGAGTCACTCTGGAGGAGGGCAGTGTGTACCTCCCCCCCCCCCCCCCGTAACCTGTGGCTTAAAGAGAGGGGATTAGGCCTCCTCTTTCAAGCCTTTCAACTCGCAGCCAGTCGAGGTTTGACAATAAGACGGCGAGTAAAAAAGAAAGAAATGTAGAGGTGAAATTAAATCGCTGTGGGGCGGAAAAAAAAGGAGTCTGTTTAACTTCAGATTGTGAGCTGTGGTAAAAGTTTAACTTACCCATGCAGCAGAATACTAATAACAGGTTAAACCATTCATCGTACATCGTCAGTGAAGAATGTGCTTTTTTTTTTTTGTGGAATAACATGTTGTTAACCCCTTCCTGCATGGCCCCAGGGTCAGTACTGCGACATCTGCACGGCGGGCAACGTGGACAAGGCTCACCCCATCACCAACGCCATCGATGGCACAGAGCGCTGGTGGCAAAGCCCCCCGCTGTCTCGCGGCTTGGAGTACAACGCCGTCAACGTCACGCTGGACCTCGGACAGGTCAGTCTGCCCCTTCGCTCCCCGGGCTGGGTTGCGCCCTCTGGCTCCCCGTTAGGCCACGTGCGACTTTGATGGAAAACGTTACTTTCTGCATGCAGCTGTATTTAGCTAGCATGACTCATGGGTGCTGTGCAGCTCAGCAGGATGGGGATCAGTGCCTGCATCCAGAAGGTTGTGAGTTTGAATGTCTTTGGGTCCTTGAGCAGAGTCCTTAAATTGTTCCAGGGACTGCTGGGATTCTAATTTGTATACTGCTTTAGAGAAAAGTGTCTGATTAAATAAATAAAATGTAATAATTAGCTAGCCTTTCAGAAAGGGTGATGTTTGTCTGTAGAAGCAGGGATTTGCTCATTTAACACCCTGAACTTCAGTAGCTGTATATGAATTTCACTGTGAGCGCCTTGTGCTGAGTGGGTCTAACTCTTATGCTGTTTATTTGTGCCAGGATGTTGCCTGGTTGTCTTTCACAGAGTTTTTAAGCGGTTAATGATGCATGTCAGGCTTTTTTCCTAATCACTGACTGTGCTTGTGAAACAGCATTAGTCCCGTCATTTTAATCTCGACTGCGTGAGCTACCCACCTCCCAAAACCTGTAACCTCCTGCTGCCCTTGTGGCGTGTTTAAACTGTTGAAAGGGTGACTTACAGTATTATATATGCACTTAGGTCCCAGGTAAAGCATTTGTAAACAGTCATTTGTCGAGGTAGAAAGGAGAGAGAAAGAAAGAGGGAGAGAGGAAGAGGAGGGTGATTCCTGTGACATTGAATAAGCGTTTGTTTACTTAAGCAGAGATTTTCCACTATTTAAGGTGAGCAGAATCCAGTGCTCCTTTACTGACAGCCCACTAAACTGTAGCATAGTGGTCACATGACACTGACACTGGGCAGGGATTGGACTGTTGGGAAGGGGGGGTGTCCCTTTTCAGTAGAAATGGGGGATCGACACGAGTCAAATGGTGAACACCACAAACAAACGGTGCCGTTTCTTTGTGTGGCAGTGATAAAAGGAACATAAAAGGAGTTAGACACTGGCATCAGTAATGCCACACCTGGTCACCTGACTCTGACTGACTGTAGGCCACGCCCCCATCTTTCACAGATTTGTGTCTTGTTATTTTACATTAAATAGTCCTTGCTTGTAATTTAAAATTTTAAAACTTACTAATTGAATTAGGGTCAGGTCTTCCGCAACCTATCCCAGAAGTCACGGCTCTGTATGCAGGAATCCACCTGCATTGCGGAAGGTGATACTTCCACTTATTATGGAACGTGGAATTTGACTGGAGCCGTTAATTGGGTAGGACGGATTCCCCCATTTTGTTTAGGTGTTTCTCTGTCTGCTCAGCAGAAGCTGAAGGTCTCTCCTGAGCCCGTCAAGCCGGGTCGTCCTGAATGTGACCACAGACCCATGATGTGGATCTTTCTGCTTTCGGGGGCTCAGTGAGGGGGTGTCCTTAAGTGCCAGCGTTCCCGCTGACATGAGGGGCCCGACGGGGACCGGCGGCCGTGGATCAGGCCCTGCCAATGGGCCTCTGCATGTTGGGTCTCTGGCCCACTGCTTCCGGGGGATAGTTTTGGGCCTGAAACTCCCCAGGTGGGAATCGTTTCTCCTCACTGGTACAAGAATGCAGGTACTGTGGGCCAAGAACCGGGAAGGGGGGGCACTGGGGACAGGAGAACTGGGGACAGACTGGACTTGCCTCCCCCCACTCCCCCTGTCCAGCCCCAAAAGCAAGAGAAAAAAGATTGGAATGTTTGTTAACCCGATCTGCCTCGGCCTGCCGGCCCGGATTGCAGCCTTTTCCTTGGAAGTCAGTCCTTGGTTTTCCTCCTCGTCACGGCACCCTGGGAGGGTTTACTTAAATTATTTAAATTTACCCAATCAGGGGTCTCAGTCTTCACTTCGAAGTAAAGGTTAATTTTTGCGTTTTTTTTTTTAATGTAACGTAAATGTGACGCGATTCGGGCTGGTCTCTGCGCTCGTGCCGGACGCCCATTATGTAGAATTTTTTCAAAAGCGCTGCGTGTTTAGGGAGTGGAGATTGCCGACTTCGCGGTGAATGGACTTTTCCGGAAAAGGTCGCGCTTTCCTGCCTCATCACTCTGCCGCTTATCTCCGCTCGGCGTGGATGAGACAGAAAGCGGTTTGTCACATAAATGAGGCTCTTTTTAAAAACGCATCTGGCTTCTTTCTGGGTTGATGGCTCTGATGAGATTTGAAGAGGCTAATGTATGCAAATAAAACCCTTAAAAAAGCCCTCAAAAGTCATTATAAACCCATTTTTTTTAAAAAAAAGAAATGGAAGGTCAGCCTTCCCTGCTAAAAATGTTTAATTCTAGGAATCTTTACCAAAGTTACATTTTAAGGTATATAAACGTTCAAAGTGTTCAGTTTTCCTGATGTTCCTAGAACGTTTTCCCACTACTACAACTAAGAGTAATAATATAAAAGCAAACTGAATGTGTGGCAGAGCAGTGAGTAACACTGTTACTTTGTGCATCAAAGGTTGTGGGTTCAAGGATGGGGCATTTGTATTATATACTCGTAGTACTTTTGTACAATATTATGAACAATATTTTTCAGCATGAATTATTCAGGTAATAATGTTATCATGCTGACAATGACAGAACCTTTGTTAAAATGTAAAATGTGGAAATAACATTATACTGGTCACATGACACTGACACCGGGCAGCGATTGGTCTGTAGGGAAGGGGGGGAGGGGTCCCTTTTCAGTAGAAATGGGGGATCAGCACGACTCAAATGGTGAACACCACAGACAAACGGTGCCGTTTCTTTGTGCGGCAGTGATAAAAGGAACAAAAAAATAATTAGACACTGGAATCACTCGGAAGGTAACCAATCAGAAACGTCGCCTCCGGTCACCTGACTGACTGGCTGTAGGCCACGCCCCCATCTTCCACAGATTTGTGTCTTGCTATAATGCATTAAATAGTCCTTATGGAAGACCTGACCCTTGTTTAGGTGTTTCTCTGTCTGCTCAGCAGTAGTCCGTAAAGCCAGGTCATCCTGAATGTGACCACAGACCCATGATGTGGATCTTTCTGCTTTCGGGGGCTCAGTGA